TGCGCACTTTCTTTATAAAATTCCTTATTCGAAAGTATTGAAAAACAAAACAAATCATTCAAGCAAAGGGGGTAGTCCAGCAAGCAGCTTTCTGTCATTTTTTAGGGGGTGCCCCTAGAATAATGTCTAGAGATTTGAGGCTTTAAATCTTTATTCCTTTTCTTTGCCTTTTGATTTGCTTTACTTACCATTGAAATTGCAGGTCTTTGGATTTAGATGTCCATTGAAATCTAAAAAGTTAGTTCTATTTCCATTGATTCATTCCCTTTTATTCTAATTAATATTCCAGATGTCTTCAAAGTCAGGTTTCTTGATTCCTTTCACTTTAGTATTGCCAGAGTAGCTCCAGAGGTAGCTAGCTAAGGATTCCTTATTTAATTATCAATTGATTGTTTTTCTAGCATATTATTCTAGAGGCCCCAATTGTTGAGGGGGGGGGGGGGGGGGGGGGGGGGTTGATTAATCAAGAGTCTACATTAGAGGTTGAGGGGTGTCCATTAACCACCCCTCTGCGACTTGTATCCGTCTGCATTTCAGCCACCATGTCGGAGACCTGTTTGTTGGGACCAGGAGGTAAGGAGTTCGAACAAAGAACTTGCCCATACTCCCCTGCAGATTGACATGGAACCCCCAAAACCACTGGGTTGGTATTTGGAAAATTGCCTTCCACTGGTCAATTCTCCGGTTCCATGCAAGATAATCAATACCAAGAGCCTGTTGGCCGTGCTTAACACATGAGCGAGTCTCACCAAAATGGTGAATTAGCTTTGCCTTGGTCGAGGAACTGAATATCTCAATCATCCCAGCAAGCTTGGTTGATTTTCCACATGGTAGCATCGGGGAGGTCTGACCACTAAGATTTGCTAACACAACTGCGAGAAAACATCTTCAGGATTAGGGGCTTCACCCCTGGTGAATTTCACACCACTTCTTTTTTTAGGGTTTAGTTCAGCCCAACTCGGAGTTATATATATTTTTAGGTGCGCGTGCTGGTTCAAGAGGGACCAAGGGCAGCTTCATCATATCAACCGAAAGCCGATTTCCAGTGCCGATTTCCAGTGCTCCAAGCCGTTGTTTCTCGTTCGGCGCTTCGAGTCGACGCTCCAGCGAGTCGACCACCCAGGCGGTGCTCGAATCGACACGGCGAGCGTCTCTGGATTGTAGGGCGAGGGCGCTGCGGGGCTACCGCCGCTCACCAGAAAGAAGAGCACCACGCAGCCAAAAAGGATCGCGGCCACAATCCGAAACCTCCAGCCAGCAGGTTGCTGTTGTTTTGTAGTTTTGGAGTTGATCATTCCCAAATAGGATGACTTCCACCGGATGTGGTTTGAAGGGCGATTAGAAACAAAGGGGCCCTCCAAAACTTCATCGCGGTCCATCAGGAACAGCTAAGACATAGAATCAGCGGGGGATTTCCTCTTGCATTTGCTCAAGGAACCCGGAAAAAAGTCAACATAATCCCGCCTATATATATATATGTGTGTTTTTGTGTCTGTGTGATATATCGTGTTATATTCATTACAGTAATATTCTATGTACACCCAACATCGCCCAACCAAACTCAGCAAAACAAAACCGTTTTGTGCGTGTCACCAATATACGGCTTCTGATTGGCATTCTCACCACCTGAACGGCTATTGAACGGATGCAGCCTCACCAAACTGAAGCAGCATACCCATGCTCCCACGTGTGATGGTGCTTGCAGGACCCAGATCAGCCGAAGGAAGTGGGGTCTGGATCGGGGTCCGGCCAGAGTGGTCAGGTGCGCCACCACATCCACATCCATCCAGTCCGCCCCGGGTCTTCGCTTCCAAGAAGCTGCCCATAGATGGTGGAATTGCGAAAGGACCTGATTCTCAACTGGCGCGAACATCTGATGACCCTGATTCTGCTGGCTGGTCCAAGTCAATTCCCTATAGGTTGGGTCTATCCCAATACCTGGCCCAGTGGATGATGATGGTTAGGTGGCAGGCCTTGCTCAAACACAATTAGTATTAATTCTTGACTGACTGTTACAGGTAATAGGACAGACCCAACCTATAGGCTTCAAAGACCGTCAACAAACACATTTAACCTGATTTTGCCTAAAATCCTTAGTCAAACAATGGTTGCTAACGAATGCCAAAAAGGATCCAGGTATATATATATAGAGAGAGAGAGAGAGACTGTTAATAACCCCCCTAGACATGGATTGAAACACCTCATCAGGCTTGGGGTGGAAATGTAGTCAAGAGTCTGGATTAAGCAAATATGGCCTACATGACTGGTGCTTTTGGGTGGTTTCGTGCTTTTGGGTCACCTCGAATCGCGCGAAGGACACCGAACCTGCTTCAGTTGGCGGACCACCGAACTCTACACCTGTGAAACGGTGGGGAAAACAGAGACATGGATGCGCTTCAAGAAGGTGGATGCGCTTGCTGAAATGGACATGGATGAAAATGGTCATCCGAACTTGGGGCCGTTGTCCACCCACGTCTCGATGAGGGCCGTTGCCTGACCTTCCTGCCTTCCTCCCCACATCTCCTAGTGAATCAAGAGTCTAAACCCTGGAAGTCCAAGACCATTGCAAAATATTTTAAACATGGTCTTGAAATGTCTTTGAATCGGTGAAAGTAGAGTTGGGAATGTCCTGACACCTTGGGTGGTGTCGATTTTTTGGACTATGCACTACCCACTTTTCCTGGGTAGGAAGTGGGTCCTTAAATCTCATGGGGTCTGCCGCCACTGCCACCAATCCGCGAGGAGCATCAGTTTCATCGTTTTTTGCCCCGTAGGTGTCAGTGAGTCCAATGCCCAAGACCATCCATGGGACTGCAATAGTTACATCTACCTACCCCATGTATGACCTTAACAAAAGTCACTACTCCTTACATTCATGGTCTAGGATGCATCATGCTTCAAGACAAAGGACCTGTACCACATGTCGACCGTCTTGAAGAAAATATCTTGATCTCGGCTGGCCAGATTGGCCGCTTGCTGGTTCGTCGTCGGCAACATGGCGGCAGCTACGTAAGCAAACAGAAACTTCAAGCAGCTAGCGCGCGAAATCCGACGCCGGACCCTCCCTGCTTCAATGAAGAGGCTGCTGAAATATGCAAGTCCTTCAAAAAATATAGATCTCTCATGATCTCTCCACACTCAGTTCAACCTGTCATCTGGTCCAATCAATCTTAGTGTTCAGCTGGGTTGGACTAACAATGTCTTCCACCAATCTGCCTCCAAAATCGGGAGGGTCCGGGAATTGTTGAGGGGACCTCAAATCGTCTGTGTGGGTTTCACCTTTGAGCCCACATCCACCCTCCACAGCTGCGGCGATCGGCGAGTATATAAGTTCTCAGAATGCCGAGCTAGGCTGGCATGGGAAGTGGGACACCTCCATGGGAAGTGGGACACCTCCAAATTACACTCCCTGGAATCATGGAAGTATGTTGAAATCAGGGCCATGCCATTCAAGTAGCCATGATGATTCCAGGGTATACATGTAATTCTAGAAGACTCAAACATGAGACCTGTTGATTTGGCAAAGGCTCCATTTTGTCTAGCTGATTGACCAAAACAGGGGTCACTCAGGCTCTAGCTTTAGCAGTCAGATGCCATCAGCATAAATCCAAGGATAGAAACTATGGTCTTCAAAGAATCGTGACATTCCGTTGCGGGGCTGCACAAATGCCAGCCGCCACAACTTGCGTCAGGCCTTTCAGGTTCCAAGTCAAACAACTTGCTCTGAGGGACAAACAACCTGCTGATTCGAGACCCTTACACTCCCTATATAGAATCATCATGTTAAAGTGTATTTGAGGCAGAGTATGTTCACCGGGTCATGTTGATTCTCCATGCCCAACTTGGGCCCCACCGAAAACACCCCAAACCAGCCGAACCCAACTCACCACTGCCGAACGCGAACGCGAAAATAGTTGAAGTCTGCGCCAGTGTCTGCGCCCAAATGAGACCTTTCGCTCCCAAATGCTTCATGTAAGCCGGCATGGGCCATGCTAGATTCAACACCCAACAACCACCAGGAGCGTCCCATGCATGGCCAATTCGCTGCCCCCGTTCCTGAGCGTCCTGACACGTGTCCTGACCCGTCCCGAGTCCCCGGTTGTTCCGCGGTCCCCGCGAGGCGTGTTGGGGACGGGAGGAGTATACGGGACGTGTCAGTGATGCATACGGCTGGACTTGTTTTTTGTGACTTTCTGCTCAAGCAACCGCAGACCTCTAGACCTCTTTTTTACGCGAGTCATCTCTGGCAGAAAGTACACATCAACTTCACC